CGGTTTGTTTATGGCTGGAGAAGCCCTCAATGCATTTCGAGTCAAAATTAGCACAACCGAGCAAAATTCCAGCTGAAACGTATTAACTGGCGATGCAGGATTTCTTTAGTGTGCAGCCTATGCGTATAAACCTGGTTTGCTCCCATTGTAAAGAGAAATGAAATCGCGCTGCAAATAGCAATTTTAGCGAGAATCATTAATCACCTCCTACAATAAATACTTCTTTGTGATTCAACAGCGGTTCTGAAAGGCATTCTCTTGGAAAAGTCTGTGAAGACGCAAAGGATTTTCCGGGGAAAAAAAAAAAAAAAAAAAAAAAGGTGGTCATGTGTAAAGACACAGCATCTTGGCTGTCTGCTAAAAAAATGTACACTCTCTTGCTGGAGATTGAACGGCGGACGGCAAAATACCCCATGGCAGATTATCGTCGTTTAAGGTAAATTTTCCGTTTTCCACCCCCCCTTCCCCTTCTGCCTGTTCTGGGAGCGGGACGCGGCTCCCGGGCCCGGAGCCTTCTGCTCCCTGTCCCATACCGCCCGCCTTTACAATAACTTCGAAAATTACATCGTCCAGCTTAAATTCTCGCATTGTGCTGCCTTTGCTAAGGCAACCGGGAGTTCACCGAGAGGACAAATTTTCTATCCCATTAATTGTTTTTTTTAGAGGAGCAGACTGACCCTTCAAACCCTTGACCTTTAAAGACAGTATTCTTTTTAATCCGGCACTTGGACCTAAATGTCTCCGCCCCCCCCTGCTCCCGCTCTCCCGGTGTCTCTCACACACGGATTTATCTGCTCTGGCCACAAAGGCGAGCGTGGCCCAAAACGCTGGAAGTGGAAGTTTGTCAATATTTCAAAGAAAGACCAAATCACCTCGGAGTCAATTTGCTGGCCGCAGGGAACGCCACGCCGTTAACCCCGCTACCCACCTCCCCTCCACCCATCAAGAAAAATGGTCCTTTTCCAGGATCCCCCTCCTCGTTTCTCCTGCAAGCTCTTGCTATACCTGGTGTTTTATTACACGGGGAACTCAGCTGTGACAAGCGCCTTGTGCTATTTAATAACTAGAGCCATTCTGCATTGGAGGATTACCCAGTGCTGGTTTTTTTTATTTTTCTTCCTTTCTCCTTTCTTTCTCCTTTCTTTCTCTCTTCCCAC